GATAAAGAAGAAACATTGCAAAGTGACTTTGAAGAAGATCCAATAGATCTTTCTCTTAATGATAACCTCGTTGAAGTGTTTGCACTGGCAATTGAGGATATATCAGAGTCAATACCAGCCAATAGCAGTGTTGTCAAAATTGTAAGGGATACCTTACAATATTGCCCTACTATGGATGTCAGACTATATGATAATGCCCAGTTCACACAGAAAGAAATCTACTATGATAGAATGATGTGTTCGTGGTATTCAATTGAGCACATTGTGTCTAGGTTGAATAAAAAAGATAAAAAAAGAGGTTATTTTCGTGATTACAAGGGCCCCAATACGCAATGTTGGTGTGATGAAAACCAATACTCCCCCAGTGATGAATGTATTACCTGTTACCTTGAATTGAAATTGTGGATAACTGTAAGATTTTACCCTGTAGAAGAAGTAGCCAAGAGTTATTGGCCTATATCTGATGAAAACGATGAATATGATGGAGAATTCAATCCTCACATTCATGGTTCAGATAATGTGAGTCTCATTGATGATACGCCATTGGAGACTTGGAACGAATGGGTCGAACCCAGAACCTATCTTTTAAGCAATTACGATTCGGATGAATATGTTGACTTAGTCTTCCTGGAAATAGAACCTGACAATACTAGAAGTAGAAATAACTTAGAATTAGCCACAATACCTTGGTGATTGCCAAACCTTAAAATACCGTCCTTGCTATATCTATTGGAGTTCAATAATTTTTCTAACCATTATTTTTGCAATTCCGTATGGTGGACGACCACCAACCCAATGATCTATCTTATCTAATTTTTTTTTCTCTCTTCTATTTTTTTTTATTAATTTTTTTATTTCCTTATTAACTTATCCCATGCAATATATATACTTTTTTTTTTTTAATAATAAAAAAAAAATAATAATAAAATTATTATTATTTTTTTTTTTATCCACCTGTCAAAACCACAATGGAACCAACAGAATACAACCAACTCAAACTTTATCTAGAAACCGCACAATGCCCACAAGACATAACACCACGTATCCAAAGAAGAATTGTAGCCTAAAGCAAAAATTTTCTTGTTCTAAATGGACAATTATATTATAGAGGGGTTAAGAATGACAAGTTATTGCGAGTCATCCAAACCCACGAAATAGAACCTCTTTTATACCTACT